AGAATGCTTCTGTATGGAGCATCCATTCCACAGGTGACGGGTGCAGTGGTCGGGAGAGAGCGTGTGCAAGTACGTTCTTGGCATGTGACACGCCTTTATCCAGATGTTTGCTTCCTGTGTGATCTGGAACAACTGGAATGTGAGCTGTAGCAGGCTTGGAGACCTTGTGGATCCTTGCCGATTTATGGAGAATGCCACTGTAGAGTTGTCCGTGTGGATCATCAGCATTCTATTGTTCAGCGAGCTCGACCATAGTTGTAAGGCGTCGATCACGGCTTTCATCTCCAGCAGATTGATATGAAGATGCTGTTCTATTTTGGACCACCTTCCTGACGCAACTTGATTGTTGAGATGCGCACCCCATCCCTGCATCGAGGAGTCTGCGTAGAGATGTGTGTCAAAGGCCGGCTCTTGTAAATAGGTCCCTCCTCAAACGTTCGACCTGTGCGTCCACCACAGTAGATACGTCTTGAGGTTGTCTGGCAGCAAGATTGGGTCGACGCTGTCTAGATGTTTTATCAGGAACCGTTGCAGCGGTCTTAGTTGTAACAGTCCTGTGCGAGTCAAGTCCTGCGCCAAGGTTAGTAGACCGAGTAGAACTTGCCATGATCGTAGTGTTAACGGAGAGACGACTGCTGGGGAATCATGGCTTGCATCTTGACCCAACGATCTTCTGGGACGACAATACGATTCTGTGTTGTGATAAACCTTATCCCCAGAAATTGTAGATCTTGTTTTGGTTCCAACTCTGACTTCATAAGGTTCACCAACCATCCTAGTTGAGTGAGCAACTTGATAAGTTCAGTTATAGTTTGAGTTGACTGGCATCTTGGTGAACCTGAATTCCGTTGTCCAAGTAGAAGGCATTGCGTAGACCTCGATGATGTAGATATGCGACTGTAGGCTTGGTTACTCGAGTGAATAGCCACGGAGCCGAAGATATTCCAAACGGTAGGACGTTCCATTGGAAGTGCTGCCTTCTGAATAGGAATCGTAGATACTTTCTTGATTCTGGATGTATAGGGATGAGAAGATACGCATCCTGTTGGTCTATGCTGGCCATGTAATCTGCTGGACGGACGAGTAGTTTGAATTGAGGTCGGTGGATCATTCTGAACCTCTCTGGTTTCAGTAGGTAGTCTTTGTTGAACTTGCGCATGTTGTAAATCAGTCTGAACTTCTCCATGGAGTTCTTCTTGGGTACTAGAAAAATTGGGGAATAGAAGCCTGGAGTGAGATGATGCTGATCTATTATCTCTACCACCTCTTTCATCAGTAGTGAGTCGATGGCTTCTTGTAGTTTGTCTGCCTGTTCCTCTGCATAGTTGAAGACCATCGGCCTGAGGGTTAGCGGAGGAGTGGCCTTTAGTTGTACTCTGAATCCTTCTCTTAGTACTTGGGAGACATAGTCGTCCTCTAGTATTCCCCAATTCTTCCAGTACCTTTGTAAACGTCCACCCACTGTCGTCAGTTTTACAGGAACGGCTGGGGGTGGAAGACTCCAGTAGTTCCAAACCTTGATATCAACGTCTAGCTCCTCTGGATCCTCTAGGAGCACGGCCTCTCCCTGAGTTTCCTCTGTAATTTCCGAATGAGTGACGAAAAGATCCTTTGCCGCCTCTGAAGCTAGAGTACTTCTTGTCCTTTGCCTTCTGTATGCCGGAATATTTGGACTTGATGTTATACTTTTGAGAAGTATGACGGATGATGTTGGCCAGAGTATCTATGGATTTTATCATCATAACTTCTCTAGAGTCGTGCGTAGCTTCCTTAGCTGCATCCTCTATTTTTTTCCTCCAAAGATAGTGTGCGCCTCCCATGGAGCTCTCAGTAGCGGTTGGGTGAATCTATCATTCCATGAACAGGATGCAATTAGCCCTTGTCTGCGTAGTAAAGTGAGACCTGCAGATATAGATGTCAGATGGTCCGATAAAAAGTATCGGTCCTTCTTTTGTGTAATGAGGGCTGAGTAAATCATTTTATCCTCTTCCGGACTTGAATTCTGGAATTTATTTATCAATGCTTCATTGATGGCTCTGGACCTGGCCAACCCAAAGAAGGATCTCCTTGTAGCAATATCAAGTTGAGATAGCTTTTTTGTCTTCCACTTTATACATCTTTTTTCGGGAGTCATTGACTAACTTGATGTTTCATCCCATTCAGGCGCCTTTGTAAATGGATCAATATGATGTAAGGGGAATCTCTTCACACTAATGATGGTAAGTGCTGACTCTGGTACTTGGATGCTTTCGCGAAAGCTGTGCGTAGGTTAGATATCTTGAATATAGGTTCAATCGGAGGGATTGTGACGGAGTCGAAGTCGTCGTTACGCATCATATAATTGTAGACTTCATCTTTATCCTTAGAAGGTGACTCCAAGTTCAACCCGTTGGCAATCCACGCTGTAACCTCTGAGTCTGGGAAGACTAAGTCTGCTTGCTGATCCAAAGTCTCCTGAATATTAGTGCTAGGTCTCAACGACTCATCCATCTGCGAACATGTATCCCTTCTCGAACCTTCATCATCCTTTCGCCAACTTCTGTCTGAAGATTCCCTATGCGAACGTCTATCTTGAGAGTGCTCTCTTCGCGAAACTCTATTGGGTGAGCTATCCCTTCGCGAACGTCTGTCGTAGGGTGAACTTCTGTGCTGTGAGCCTTCTCTTCGCGAACCTCTGTTTCGTGAATGACTTTCGCGAACGTCTGTGAGAGATATGAGATCTCGACCTAGAGCGGCTAGGTGTAGGAGATGGATCCTTCAATGTTCTTGAACGTTGAGGGTTCGCAGATGTAGAACTGTGAGTAGGCATCTCATCTCTTTTATCCTCCAAGATGACAGAGTCTTCCGACTGTGTTCGCCAACGTAGTCTTGAGACGTAGTTCTATGAGGAGTAGGTTCGCGCAGGTCAGTAGGTTCGCACAGGTCCGTAGGTTTGCGCACGGTGTCGGTAGATGAGAGGCTTTTCCTAGCCTTCGCTTCTTCCTGGAACCTACGTTCCATCATGGCCATCATCTGGTTGGTGTTTCATAAATTTGCCCGGGTCAAAGTTCTGCATAGGTTGAAGCTGCTGCGGTGTGGACGAAGCATTCGCGAACACTGATGAGTTCTGTGCCTCAACTTCACTCCGTTGAGAAGTAGGTGGTAGTTCGTCAAACAGCTGTCCTGCTGTGACCGTTGTACTGGACGATCTTGTAGTTGTAGAGGTCGATTGAGTCACTGATCTCATAGATACTTCAGGTAGAAGTAATGGGGGTCATCAAAGACGTCTATTTCGTGTGGAGGGAATATCTCTTCGTTGAAGGATTTCTGCTGCGTTGATGTACTAGCACGTGCTGGTAACAGATGCTTTCTTCTGCGTTGTAGAAGAAGATGACGTTTTTTTCTTAGCCTGAGACGGAGTCAACTGCGTTGTAGACGATCTCTTCTTGGCCCCCTACCAGCAGACGGCCCCTGTAACGCACTAAACATAGCACCAGTATTATGAACATCAGCAGTAGCAAGCAACATACGGTTTGATGGCTGATCTACAGTTTTATCAACCGTGACTTGAGATGCCTTTCTCACCCGATCCATGGCATGTCTATGGATATAAGACAAATATTGATTAAGTTGAAGATTTGATAAATCAACACAATAAGTACAGCGCAAGCTAGAAGAACATGGTTTTATGCACGAGGGGCACTTGGGGTGAGGATCAGCCAAGGATAACCTGTGCCTGCAAACACTGCAAGATTTCATGAAATGTAAACAAGGTTACATAACGATGAAAAACCAACTCAAATATAAAGAATTTGTACAAAATGTTTACATATGATGCATAGTAGTTATTGCCAAATCCATATACAGCGTATTTTGAAGAATAGGACCTAAATAAAAAGGATATAATGCCGTATACGGGACTCCAGTGCTCGCCCAACCATCCGCTTGGGCAAAAAGGGAGAGAGTGACAAGTAAGGCAGGTCACATGACTGTTTGCGCGGGAAAAGGGAACTCGTGGTTGAGTGTATTTTTACGTCCGCTTCGGGAACTTCAAGGGATTCTAGTGTTCCACTACAATTCGCAAGGGAAAGGGAGATAAGCAAAAGATCATGAGTCAGGATAAGTAAAAATATGAATGTTTTGAGAGTACTTCACCACTCGCACTTCCTTATGACCGTAGTTGTTTGTACAGTAATCATTCTTGAAAGATGATTGGTGTATGACGCGAAATTTGCATGTGTATAATTTTCATTTTCAAACCAAAAAAACCCGGGTAGAAACAAACACTAACAACTGTGTGATGCAAGATGATTGTCAAAATTCATGGTCTACCTTCTTGAAAACCAAGAATGAAACCCCATGCACGTGTATGGGGCTACTGCGTTGTGCACGTGCATGCAATGCGTTGTGTTTATGGGTGGTGATAAAGAGAAATGGTGGTGTATTCATAAGATGCCTGTCTTTGAAAAGTTTGTTAACGCTTCGTATCCAAATTGAAAGTTCAGGTTCCTCTACTTTTTTGGGGGGAATAGTATAAAATGAAGACCGTTTTCCTCGTTAGTATCCACTACACAGCTTTCTTTTCACTCAAAAGGAAAACGAATTGGTTCAGTGTGTAACCCTGAAAAGCTGCAGGTGCCAAGGACCCAGAACCATAAATGTTGTGGGTCCTGATCAAAATGTGTAGGCTCTATATTGTAGCTACAATATAGGTAATTCCCATCAAACAAAAATGTGACAACAAACAAACTGAGTTCAAGAGTTTAATTTAGAAATTCCAACTAGAAATTATTCAATGATATTTTCTGAAAAATAATACTCTTAGTTAATGGGGATGAAAAAGCTGTCGGCCATAAGGACCTGCAGAAAATAAAAGCTGTGGGTCAGAGTGGTTTTCAGTTGGCTTCTGGCCTAAGGACCGTCCTTAATTTCAAACGCTGTTTTGGTTGAAGCCAAAATTGGATTATAATGTGGCGCTTGAGACGAACAGACCCCTTACGAAAAGGATATCTTATACTCACTTGTCTCCCATATACGCAGAGACTCGAACGTTGATTTCACTGGTTTTCAAGTTCACCAGCTGAAGACCGTTTCTCTTGCAAACATCCACTGCACCTACGTAAGATGTGGTGAAGTATGAATAGAAGTATTCTCCTGAAACTAAGAGAAAATACAGAATATCAAACATTCTTTACGTGAGTATGCATTTAGTACGATGGGCGTTTGACTGAGTCAGATATATGTTTTGACTTGAAACAAACGCCTTAAGAACTCCATAAATTCAGTTGAGAGCAGCGATGTGCACATTTACTCTCTGTGTGTGTATGTACATATATATATATATATAGAGAGAGAGAGAGAGAGAGAGAGAGAGAGAGAGAGAGAGAGAGAGAGAGAAAGGGGAGGGAGAGAGAGAGTAAGAGCGAGAGAAGAGCCAAATTCACAGTATTATATAACCCCTATTTTATTTACTTTGCAGTACTGTGTTTTGATTTGCAAACTAATGTACATGTATTTTATATTTATGAATTTATAACATTCCTTTATTTTCCTTTACGTGTTTGTTTCCAACTGAATTCTTTGCGTATAACTTTCTGGGTTTAAATATCCCCAGGTACCAGAAATATGAAGTTCCCGCGCTATTCAAGTATAATACAACATATTTATTTGTATTAGACAGATAAAGTGTCACGTACAAGATGGAAAGCAACGCGGAGGGTTTAAGACATCACAGGCGACAGGAATTCACAAAGAGAAGGTACGCAAGTGATGAAATCCTCCTTTCCAGAACTGACATCTATTTTGACATGTGCCACTTAAAGGCTATCGGAGACCTCAGCAACGTGTTTAGCAAATATTTTGTACAACTCAAGTCCACACGTATATATCTATTTGATTCACGTTGAAAGAACTGCCCTACCTGTAAGTGACTGCAGAATAAAGATCAGTGTCTTCAGCTTCATCATGTCTCTTGTCTCACACGGACACCACCTGTCGACTCCGATGTCACCATCAGACTAAGACAGTGTGATAAGTAAGTGAACTGTAAAACCGTCCCTCTTAAGTGCACGTCTTAGCTTAATGCTTCACAATTATCGATGTACAGTTCGTCTATGCACTCGTATCCCATGTTAGTCGTATGTATTATACATAATAACGACTTGCTTTCGGGGGCACTATAAAGGCAGCAACGTGTGTTCAATGATTGAAGACGGTCACGACAAATGCCTCGATGTTGTGACAAAAGGAAGAAAGGTTTTGGTGAGGTAAACATATTAACTTTTAAATCGGTATGGGCTTTGTGAGTTCGTTTACCTCAGAATCTCTGTACTTGTTCTGAGTTCACTGATACACCGGTGTGGTATTTGAACTTGTCTGTGAAGAAGATGTCTTCTTTAAAGAGTTTAACCCTTCGTTTGCCTTTAAAGCTTAGTAAAATCAGTTTTGTCGAATAATCCAAACTGGTTATTCTCTTACGTTGATCTTATATATTTACATGGATTCTTTGTTAGGCTGATCCTTTTAATTGCATGACATGGAGAACACCGAAACATTGCTATCACCGGTAACGTTTTCTCCTACCGTCCGTCTGTGAAAGTTCGTACTTTTCCGGAGCAGAACATGAAAATCGTTTAATATTTCTTCACCAAAACTTGGAACATAGATAGGTCAGATAGTCAACTGGTGCCTTTTGGTAGTTTGGGATTTCTGAATAAAATATTTTTTTTGCGTTTCCAGGGCAACAAGTTTGACTTCGACTGAAATTGTGATGGTACTCTTTTCCGGAGCAGTTCCTTTCAATTCTCTCCTTCAACTTTGTGGGTATTCAAGAATCTAATGCTATAAATCAATGGTACCACTCTATTTCCAGTATATACATTACTGAGGTACATCAAACAGAGGAAGCACTCAGGCAGCCTGTTGTTGATACAAGCATGTTAGTATATGAACGATGTTTTCGTAGGATCAATGTGAGAAACAATTTATATATTATATTGTCTTACTGAGCTGAGAGAGGGAAGAATGTACACTCAGAAAGTTATCATCTGTCACAAGTACCCTAATCTAATAATCCAATATAGGTGTTGAAAATTCAGAAATAATGAGGTCACAAAAATGTTTTCAAAAGTGTTCTTGATCTCATTGTTTTCGGAAAGAAAATTGGTATATACACGCCAAAACATTTGACAGATACATCCGGCCTTATCACCCTTAGAGCATATCTTGACCATGTTGAACATCCGTGCTTGTCACCTCCCATTAGACCATGCGGTAAACCTTGTTTGTGTTTAGTAACATGATACATTCTGTGGCTAGTTCCATATCAACAAGATGCTTTGGAGGATGGGATGTGTCACACTAAGTACCGGATTACACTTTTACTGCTGATGAGAGATATGTTAAGGTAAAGGTATCACCTCAGCGATAAAATAACTTTGTACAGGGCGCCCTGGTGCTGATATAGAACCACTGCTGGGACAGATACAGAACCAGAACAAACATACACGTGCGGATGTAGACCCTAAACAACGTGCTGAAACAGACCGACAGTAGTGAGGTGCTTTTCAGGTTCTTTTGAAACAATATATGACAAAACAATGAACGACTTTTTTTCTTTGGTTAAGTCACACACAGCAAGCTGTTGTAAGGGGAGGGGTTGAACAGAATATCCGCCATTTTCTTTTTATAACGTAACATAGGTGTGACCTTTGTGTGACCTAATCGATTGTTGAGCCCCATCCTCCTTTGGGAGTCCGGACCAGGTGTGTGTGTGTGTGTGTGTGTGTGTGTGTGTGTGTGTGTGTGTGTGTGTGTGTGTGTGTGTGTGTGTGTGTGTGTGTGTGTGTGTGTGTGTGTGTGTGTGTGTGTGTGTGTGTGTGTGTGTGTGTGAGTGACACCTTCAGGTTCACCTTAGTGGTCTGTGATTATTATTTTATGAGTTTGTCGAGTGTTCACACAGCAAACGTTAGACTAATGCTTAGTCTCTGAATATATATAATTTTGATAGTAACAAACAAGCCCATTTAAATTGAAATGGAGCCCTAAGGAGACCAGAGATTCACAACGTGAGGAAATCTAGACTTGTTTTATTTAGGGCTTTAGCACTGCAGAGAGGGCATAGCAGCAGATAAAATAATGTGGTTCAGGTACAGAGGGACAGACTAAGCAAACGTGTTCAACGTAGAATTAATATCACACTATGAGGGGGAATTTAGCTGCTATTTATTAGGTCAAAAGTTAGATCAGAGCGCATTTTGTTAAATCAAATCACTAACCAGATTAAAATACGCTGTCACACAAGGAACAACTCTTAATGTTTCGATATCTGTCGACAATAAACGATTGTAGCTGTTAAAATTCATGCGCCACCGTATATGATATGCGTGAATGGGACGCTGTATATGCACTACTGTGAGTACTACTACTAACAGCAGAAACGCTTGCTCGCTAAGCCGTAACTGAAGAGACATGTGACAGCTGTGATTGGATAAAATAGTGTAAGGTGTTATGTTTGTTAAAAGCACCTCCATCCAGTCATTAAAACTTACCACCATTTTAAGTATTTAATGCTGTCATTTGTATCACTTATGCTTATGCGTGTACAGATATGTTCAAGTAGGTGACAGTTTGTGCGGACCTGGGAGGGTTGATGTGTTTAGCTTCTTGTGTGTGGCTTCCTGTGCTCGCAAAGTTAGCCAGTTCAAGTTGACCAGAAATTGTTTTATTGTAATTTAAAGGTCAGACTGTAATCATGTGTACATGGAATGGTCGTTGATAATTTTCAGCGTTATTGCGCACAGCCTACAATGAATGTATAGTCACTAGTGGTCAGCTTCCGTTATGTAGGGAGAGATGTGTCTGACCGGAATTAAGGACAGGAAATAGTAAGCAGTTGAGGACATATGGTCACTGAATATCTCAAGTAGTTTGGTTGTGCAGTGATGAAATGAGTTAGCAATTGTCATATATATTACTGAATAAGAAAACAAACCTGTTCTCCTGTAAAACTTTCCAGTGCTTTTACTCAACATTTTAAAACTTTACTCTCAAATTGCAAACATAAAAAAACCCATCCTATGTCCATGAATACTTTTTATGACACTTATTTGACATCATGTGACACATAGGTTACTCACATGTCATTAGCCGCTCTTATTCCACAGACAGTACAATGAAATACTGGTGTAAGCTTGTTGTGACTGTATTGTGTGGGGTATGAAGAGGTTAGGACCTCCTGGTGTTGAGAATTGTATTGTAGGTTAAATGTATTCAGTGACATAGGGAGGATTATTTATCAGTTGTAAAACAAAGATTTGTACAACGAACAGTTGTCTAATGTCAATCCTCCAGCAATGCATTAAGTGAGTGAGTGAGTTTAGTTTTATCTTGTACTCAGTAATATCCCAGCTATATGGTCTGTAAATAATCGAGTCTGGACCAGACAATCCAGTGATCAACAGCATGAGCATCGATCTACCCAATTGGGATATGATGATGAGATGTGTCAATCATGCCAGCGAGCCTCACCACCCGATCCCGTTAGTCGCCTCTTATGACAAGCATGGGTTACTGAAGGTTCATTCTAACCCGCACCTTCATGGGTACAATGCATTAAGAAACAAGAAAGATATACAGATTTCATTGTTTATTAGCTCCGTTTCAAATGAGTAGGCTTTAGGATAGGAGTTCTCCCAAATGTCTATTGCCCTTCCTCATCGTCCTGTCCTTCACTCTCTACATCAGATGTCATGTCTTCATGATCATCATCAATTAAGTCTTCTACCCAAGATTTATATTGGTACAGTTTGGAAAACATGTCATGATACAGATTATTCGTGTCTTGTACTCGTTTCAGTATTCCTTGTGTCTTTGGACCCAACTGCATATGATACAGATACGTAATAAATCGGGCATACGTCTCTTTAAACGTGCTCCAGATGAATGTCTTCAGTTTGGCTTGTATCATGTCTTCGTGTAACCCTCTTTTCATGTACAGCTGTCGTTTCACATCCAAAAGGTCTTTATTCAGCTCACGCGTACGTGAATACATTTGTCTTTTACCTTGCTCCTCAAGATTAGCTATGTTATTTTTCCTGTTGCCGTGTGTGACATCACTTAACGATACAGCCTCATCATCATCATCATCATTTTCCATTTCAGGACATTGTTTATCGTGTAAATGTCTTTGTAAGTTGTGGTTACTGCTAAACACTTGACCACAATAGTCACAATCTGACAAGAGGACGTGGTCTCTTCACAGCAGATAAGCTGTTCCTCCCACTCCCTTTTCACTTGGGGTATTCCAGGTTGACCCACTGAAGACTTTTCAGGACACCAGTTTCTTCTGTGTTTTTGCAAATCATGCACGTCTTGAAACACGAGTCCACAGTCATCACAAGATGGCATTGTTGGGAGGTTTTCTTCACACGTCTGCTCACTCTGAACGTCTAACTCGGACTGAATTGTCCTAGCTTGGAGGCCTCCTTTTAAACTGACTGCGTTGGGACAAAGTCTCTAATGGGAAGGTGTTTGGGGTTTTAGATCAACCAACAAGTATCTATAAGGTTTCTGGGTAGCCCTTTGAAATGGCTCCATGAAATGGTCTGTGTTACCTGGAAACATTTGCCTCGCTACAGTCATGACTGGTTGTTGGTCAATAGGGTTGTTGAACAGAAGAAGATAATGACAGTTTCTTCTTTGTGTGGGATCCTTACTGTAACACAAATTCTGGTTCAAGGCTATCACTGAGAGATTACGATGATGACTTCCTTCGGTAAAAAGATCTGTAATGCGTGTATCTTTGCTGGCGGTAGACATTAAGTCGTCGAGGATAACCACATTCACAACACTGGGGTCCAGAAACGCATCCTTTTCGAGGTGAGAAGGAATGCCTTGATGAAATTCAACGTAAGGATAAACACAGGCTTGAATGGTGAAATACATTGGCTGCCATCGTTTGTAGAGCCATATAATACGTTCAGGATAAGGTTTAAAGTTCACCGTTCTAAAAGCTGCTTCACTAAGTACGTTTTCCCACAG